AGCATATAAAACTAGAAGTCCTACACTAAAAATATTTACATTAGTTGAAAGAATTCTCTTAGATCTGCAGTTGTAGAGAAGCTGTATATGAATGCACAAGGACATTCGGGGCTATCTCCTGGTGCTAACACGTGAGCATCTCTCTGGGGGCAGGACAACGGTCAGATGTAAGGCGGTATCACTACCCTGTTCCCACCATAGTGGTTGACACTTTGGAGGTGCTTCTATTTTTACATCCTCCTGCTTATTTTGGGTTTATCTTGCTCTTCTTTTTCTAGTTTTTTAAGGTGGCAGCTTAAACTATTGATTTGAGACTTTTCCTCTTTTCTAATATAAGCATTTAATGCTATAAATTTCCCTCACAAAACTTCTTCAGTGGCCTACCATACATTTTGATATGTTGTATTTTCATTTTCATTCAGTTTTGTGCATTTAAAACAAATTTTCCTTGAGATTTCCTCTTTGGTTCATGGATTATTTAGAAGTATGCTGTTTAGTGTACAAGTATTTGGAGATTTTCCTATTATATTTCTGTTACTGATTGTTAGTTTGATTCCATTGTGGTCAGAGAACATGCTCTGAATAATTTTAATTCTTTTGAATTTGCTGAGGTTTGTTGATGACCCAGGATATAGTCCCTCTTGGTGTATGTCTTTAGATGCTTGAAAAGAATGTGTGTTCTCCTGTGCTGAGTGGAGTGTTCTATAAATGTGGATTAAAACGTGTGGTTTTGGTGTTGTAAGTTCTTCTATATTCTTGCTGATTGTTTATCAGTTGTTGAGAGAGGTGTGCTAAAGTCCTCCAACTACAATTGTGGATTTGTCTATTTCTCCTTTTAGTTTTGTTTTTGTATTTGTAGCTCTGCTTATGCATTTGGGATTGCTATGTCTTCTTGATGGATTGACCATTTTATCATTATGTAATGTCCCTCTCTGTCCTTGGTAATTTTCTTTTTTCTGAAATCTGCTTAATCTGATGTTAATATAGCCACTCCTGCTTTCTTTTAACTAATGTTCACATGGTATTTTCTTTTTTCCTCCTTTTACTTTCAAGTTACTTATTATATTTGAAGTTAGTTTCTTGTAGACAGTAAGTAGTTGAGTCATTTTTTAAATCCACTCCGTGAAGGTCTATTTGTTGATATATCTATTGGTGTGTTTAGAGCATTTACATTTAATTATTGATATATTAAGACTTAAGTCTGCAGTTTAGTTTTGTTTTCTGTTTGTTCTGTTTTTATTTTCCTGTTTCTTGTTTTTCTGTGGATTACTTGAACATCTTTTAGAATTCTATTTGATTTATCCATAGTGTTTTGAGTGTATCTCTTTGTATAGATTTTTTTGTGGATGCTGTACGTATTGTACTATATATTATACATATACAATTTATCATAACTTACTGGTTTGCCATTTTATCATTCTGAGTGAATATAGAAACCACATCTCTCTTTAAGTCACTTTACTCTCTCTCATTTATAATTGTCTTTATTTCCTCTACATATATTAGTAAGTATATGAGACAATAATTATAATTTTTGCTTGAACATTCAAACAACATTTAGAAAACACAAGAATGAAAGTCTTTTGTATTTACCCACACTTTTGTTTTTTTCTGTTGTTCTTTTCTTCCTTTCTGATGTTGCAAGTTTCCTTCTTTTATCATATCCTTTCTGTTTAAAAACTCTTTTTCCTTCAGGGTAGGTCTGTTGGTGACAAATGCTCTTAGTTTTTTTTCATCTGAGAACATCTTGATTTCCCATTCATTCTTGAAGAATATTTCCACTGGATGTAGTAATCTGGGTTGACAATTCTTTACTTTCAGCACTTGAAAAATGTTGTTCCGGTCCTTCTGGCCTCCATGGTTTCTCATGAGAAATCTGCTTTTATTTTAATTGTTTTTCCCTTATAGGTAAAATATCGTTTCTCTCTCATTGCTGTTAAGGATTTTCCTTGTCTTTAGTTTTATGGAGTTTGATTATTCTGTGTCGTGGCGTGGATTTCTTTGGGTTTATTCTGTTTAGGGTTTGCTCAACTTCTTGAATCTTAGATTTATATCTTTTTCCAAGTTTAGGAAAATTTCAGACATTCTTAAAATATATTTTCAGTCTGACCTTCTTTCTCCTCTCCTTCTGGTGCTCTGATGACATGACTTTTTGTTATGGTCCCACAGATCCTGAGACTCTGTTCATTTTTTTTTCAATCTGTTTTCTCTTTGTTGTTCAGATTGGGTAATTTCTATTGCTCTGTCTTCAGATTCATGGATTCTTTCCTCTGTCCTCTCCATCCTGTTACTGAGCCTATCCAATGAGTTTTTATTTTGGTTTGTAAATTTCAGTTTCAAAATTTCTATTTGGTTCTTCTTTATATCTTCTATTTGTTTGCTGAGACTTTCTAGTTTTTCATTTGTTTCAAGTCTCTGTAATTGCTCATTGAAGTGTTTTTGTGATGGCTGCTTCAAAATCATCTCAGATTATTCCAACATGCATTTCATCTTGGTCTAAGCATCTATTCATCATCCTTTCTTAATCTAGTTGTGATCTTCCTGGTTCTTGGCATGACGACTAATTTTTTATTCTGACTTGGACATTTTTGGCATTATGTTGTGAAACTTCAGATTTTATTTAAATGTTTTGTTTTAGAAGGCCATCTCTGACCTCTCACTGCTGGAGGTCTGGAGGTACTGCAAGGTGAGGGTGAAAGTCCAAGTTCGCCACCTAGTTTCCATTGGCATCCCTGGTGGTGTAGGGTGCTTCATTACCGCTAGGCAGGGATGGAAGTTCAGTTTCCCCACTAGGCCTCTGCTGCCACTACCCTGGCTAGGAGGGGGAGAGTACCTTATTACGTGCTTCCCGTTTAAGGGGCCTCCACTTAAATCTTGGGGGATGGGCCCATTACTGCCTGGAGGTGGTGATTTTACTGCATCTCTTGAGATGATCACATGTAGTCGTTACACTGATTTTTGAGTACTGAACTAACATTGAATCTTGGGATAAATCCCACTTGGTCACGATGTCTTACCCTGTTTGACATTGCTGGATGTAATTTGGTAATATTTTACTGAGGATTTTTGCATCTATATTCATGAAGGGTGTGGGTTCATGTTTATCTTTTAATGATTTTGTCTAGTTTTGGTATCTGGGTAATGTGGCCTCAAAAAATAATTGAGAAGTATTCACTACTTTTCTTCTTTCTGAAATTCTTCATGTAGACTGGGTATTATGTCTTTCTTAAATATTTGGTAGAATTTGCCAGTGAAGCCATCTGTACCTGGAGCTTTCTTTGTTGAAGGTTTTTTTATATTGAGAATTTGATTTCTTTAATAGATATAGAACTATTTAGATTTATATTTCTTGTTGAGCTTAGGTAGTTTGTATCTTGCAATGAATTTGTACATTTTATCTAATCTGTCTAATTTATTGGTATCAAGTACCACACTCTAGTATTATTCTTTAATGTCTGGAGGATCTGTATGATAACCACTTTTTTTTTTTTTTGTGAGGAAGATCAGCACTGAGCTAACATCTGATGCCAATCCTCCCCTTTTTGCTGAGGAAGATTGGCCCTGAGCTAGCATCTGTGCCCATCTTCTTCTACTTTACATGGGACGCCGCCACAGCGTGGCTCTACGAGCAGTGCATCGGTGCGCACCCGGGATCCGAACCTGCGAACCCTGGGCCGCCGCAGCGGAGCGTGTGCACTTAACCGTTAACCGCTTGTGCCACCAGGCCTGCCCCAACTTTTAGTGTATTTGTATCTTTATATGTGAAGTGGTTTCTTTTAGACCACAAATAGTTGGATTTTCCTTTTTTATCCAATCTGATGATTTCTCTTTTAATTGAGATTTTTAAATCATTTTCATTTGAATGATTAGAGTTGAACCTAAATTTAGTGTCTTGCTAGTTGTTTTCTCTTTGTCCCATTTGTTCTTTGTTCTCTTTTTATGCCTCTTTTGAATTAATTGAGCTTTTAGAAATGATTCCATTTTATTTATGCTATTAGTTCATCAATTACACTTCTTTTTAAGAGTTTCTTAGTTGCTGCCCTAGGGCTTATAATATATATCTCTAATTTATCATGTCTGCCTTTAAATAATAGCATTCAATATCACAAATAGTTTAAGCACCTTACAACAGTATACATTGAATGCCTCTCCCTGTCCTTTGTGCTATTATTGTCATACATTTTACTTTTACATGCTGTTAACCCCTTGAAACATTGTTACATTTTTACTTTAGTCAATTATATTTTAAAACGTAAAAATAATACAGAAAGTCTTTTACATATATTTTCACCATTTCTACAGATTTTCATTTTTTCTTTGTAGATCCGTGTTTCTGTCTAGTATGATGTTCCTTCTGATTGAAGAACATCATTAACACTTCTCTAGCACAGGCCTTCTGGCAATGAAGTCTCTCATTTTTGTTCTTCTGTGAAAGTCTTTATTTTACCTTCATTTTTGAAAAATTTTTTTGTCTGGTATAGAATGTTGAGTTGACAGATTTGGGTTTTTTTTTTTTTCTTGCAATGCCCTAAAGATATAACTCCCTTTCCTTCCGGCTTGCATTGTTTCTGAAGAGAAGTCTCTTTTAATTGTTATGTTTCTTTGTCTATAACGTGTCTTTCATCTCTGGCTACCTGCAAGATGTTTTCTTTATCCTTGGTTTCCAGAATTTGAATATGACGTGTCCCAGTCACTATAGGGTTAGAGTTTAAGTTTTTCTAGTGGTGGTGAGGAGTGAGTAGGTCCACCTTGTTGTTGTATCTGTGTGTGCAGCAGTAGAGGTGCGAGCTTAGGAAGGTCACATTACTGTTAGTCTAACTCCAAGAGAGGCCTTGGTCCTGAAGTTGCCCTTATTCAATTTGTGTCGCTTAAGCAACTCAAGTTGGATGCGTCTGAGACTTCCTTTTCTGACTTTATCACCAGTGATAATTTTCAAATAGCTCTAGATAATTCAAAAGTGTTATCATTGTAAAAATTATTCTTAATTCTTCTTTCTAAAGGCGATTACCTTCAAGGAAGAACAGCAACAGCAAAAAGATCAGCCTAACGAGGAACCTAAGAAGGATGAAGCAGTCGCCTTTCATAAAGCTGTTACTGGTTCAGACAGAAGTACACTGGAGAAGAACCAAATTAATTTTGGGAAGAATCAAATGACCAAAAGATTAGAGCCAAGTTTAAACTGGAAAGCCACTGTTGATTTCAAAGAGTATGTAGACATTTGCATGATGGGTTTTCTGAAATATCTTCAGTAACCACAAATTTGCCTAATTTTGGGGGGCCAGCCCTGTGGCTTAGTGGTTAAGTGCGCGCTCTCCGCTGCTGGCGGCCCAGGTTCAGATTCCGGGCGCGCACCGACGCACCGCTTCTCTGGCCATGCTGAGGCGGCGTCCCACATACAGCAACTAGAAGGATGTGCAACTATGACATACAACTATCTCCTGGGGCTTTGGGGAGAAAAAGGGAAAACAAAAGGAGGAGGATTGGCAATAGATGTTAGCTCAGGTCCAGTCTTGCTCAGCAAAAAGACGAGGATTGGCATGGATGTTAGCTCAGGGCTGATCTTCCTCACCAAAAAAAAAAAAAAAAAATTTTGCCTAATTTTTCACATAACTTTATTTCATGGTAGAAAAACAGAGAGTAGATATTTACACCTCTCTCCATGATATAAGTTGATTCTTTCCTGCTCCTCTTCATATTCCAAGCAGGAAGATTTGACATCACCTGGGTTTGTGTGTAGAGCACCGTGATGGGAAGGGAAGAATCCCACTTCACTTTCATGTAGTTGGTGAGTCAGGGCAAAGAACATGTGAAGAAGATGATGAAACACATGGGGAAATCCCATGGGAAGTGAAAACAGAGTGGTAGGGACCTGATTAAGTAAGTGTTAGGAGAATTTGGATTAAAATTGTGTGATTAAAATTATGTGGAATTAATTAGGGAAACATTCATAGAAATCACGTCTTGTCTATTAACAGAACTTTAGTAAATACACTAAAAATGTTAGAGCCTCAAAGATATTATCAAGCCTAAGTGAAGTGGACACTGGTTTGATGAATGTCTGAAATATATAAGACTAGTTCCATTTAGGACCCTCTGTAAGTAGGTACCGAAGCAAATATTAAGGGCCAGTGTTATGTAAATGCCGAGGCAGTCAGAGGTGCCTAGAGCACTTTTTAAAGATTTAGCAAATAGGCTTACAAGTTTCAGCCTACTTTTAATGCTCTATGTTGTCACTTGATTGGGTTAAGAACTGGCTCCCAGCTGTTCACACAGGAACCTCACCTGTAGGGATTCTGAAAACCAGGGGGTGATTGCTTTTTGGAAGCAAACCCAGAGAGCTCACGGAAGGAAAGAGTCCTGTAGAACGGGGAGACATGCTTGCTCCTCTAATGCTCATTGATTTTGGGGTGTTTGACCTTGGTGACCCTATTTGAAAGAGTGAGTCTGAAAATGACAAATGTATGGGCTACACTGTTAACTGGGAGGTGAATTTTAAACTACTGGTTTTTCCATGTGCTTATTTTTTTCAATTAAGAATTTACTTAAGTATTTAATGAAAACCCAGTATGTGCCAAGGACTATGCCAAGGCTGGGAATGCTGGAAAACCAGACACAGGCCCTGCTGCTATGTTGGGTGGGGAAGGTAAGAAAATAGGCAACTTTAATCCGGGGCAGTAAGCACCGAGAATAGAAGACACGCAGTGAAGGACTTACGATGGCAGCCTGGGAAGACCTGTTCCTAGTACAAAGAGATACTGTGCAAAACATTTCTTCATTGTCTGAAATGCATGGGTGTGCCTGAAGGACAAAAGGACGTCTCAGTTGTCAGATAAGGCTGGAACTCATAGTCATTCTTTGTGTCAGAAAACACATCATTTGGGTGCATGAAAATGATGGACTATTTGTATACGTTTCTATTTTTAATTTCCCATTAATCAGCATAAAGTAATTAATACAGTTAATATTTTTTTAGGCGCAGAAACTTAGTAAGAGACACTCAAGAGGAAAAACATGGAGGAAGACTTGAAAAGTCAAGACCATCTGTTTCACCTGGAAAAGCACAGTTAGTTCGGTATGTTTCTGTTGATGTGACCAGTTGTTTACAGCCAGCCCTTGCACTATGGGCTAGAGAATGCTAATTAATGGTGTTCTTAGTATTATATTAGAGTCCCAAGGTGTCTATATTGACAGTTACTAGGAATGTGGTAAAAATGGTAATAGTGGATTTCTTTAAATATATTTACAAGATATCCTTTTAATGAAGAGTGACTTGAAATGCAGAGATCTACCGGTATTAGTTAACTATGAAAATGAATGTATTTAATGCAAAGAGTAGTGAACTAAGTGATAGCAAAACTGGGCTCTTAGCTGATCTCTTGCCTCTGAACAATTGTGTCAGAGCAAAGTGAAGTCACCTTTCTGGGCCTCACTTTACTGATAACCAATGGCTCTGGCAATTCTAAAGTGATGTATGTTATTTCTCATTAAAACAGCCATTAATAGAAGGCTAACTAGTACACTTCTTACCTGATTTTCAGTTTGACAACCGAAGTGACATATTTGGAAGAGAAGGGTTAGCCACTTTTATTAGAGAGTTTTAGAGTGTTGGTGGGAAGAAATGGAGGAAATTTCACATTATAAAGTTTGCACACATGGCAAAAAAAAAGACACTACCACATTTATGCTGTTTTTGAGGGATTTAATATATTCAATTTGTTTGACAATTTTTTCTTTTACTTTTTATTTTGAACTAATTATGGATTCACAGGAAGTTGCAGAGATAGTGCAGAGAGGTCTCATACACCCTTCACCTAGCCTCCCCCAGTGATTGCATCTTGCATAACTATAGCACAATATCAAAACCAGGAGATTAAGATTGGTACAACGTTTATGCATAGTTCCATGCCATTTTACCACGTAGGTTTGTATGATGACCACGGCAATCAGGATGCAGTACTGTTCCATCATCACACACAAGTCCCTCCTGCTGCCCCTTTATAGTCACACCCGCTCCCCTTCCCCCATCATTCCTAATTCCTGGAAACCATTCATCTGTTTTCCGTGTCTATAATTTTGTCATTTTGAGAATGTCATTTAAATAGAATCATACGTTTTTGATATTGGCTTCTTTTTCATCACCATAATACCCTTGAGATCCATCCAAGTTGTATTACTAATGTGTCCCTTTTTATTGCTGAGTAGCATGCCGTGGTATGGATGTACCACAGTTTGTTTAATTATTCACCTATTGAGGGACATTTTAGTTGTTTGCAGTTTTTGGCTATTAAAAATAAAGCCGCTGTGAACAATCATATACAAGCTTTGTATGGATGTAAGTTTTCATTTCTCTAGGATAAATGCCCAATTTCTGACACATAGGGCAATTGTGTATTTAGCTTTTTAAGAAACTGCCAAACTTGTGAGTGGCTGCACCATTTTACATTCCCAACAGTGAAGTTTGAGAGTCAGTTTCTCTTTATCCTCTCCAGCATTTGGTATTGTCATATTTTTTGTTGTAGCTGTTCTAAAAGATGTGTAGTGATATCTCATCGTGATCTTGGCATTTCCCTAATGGCTGCTGATGCTGAACATCTTTTCATGAGCTTATTGCCATCCATATAATTCTTCAACGAAATGTCTCTTTATCTCTTTTGCTCATTTTCTGATTGGGTTTTGTTTTTTTTTTTTTTTTT